CCCGGCGCGGTGCGCGAGGGTCACGCTGGCCGCGGACTCGGGCCTCCCGCGGGGGACCCGGGCCCGCCCGGGAATGGCCTGTCTACGCTTTTCGGGCCGGGGACGAGAGAGGGCGGGATGGACCGGCTCGGCGGCCGGAGCCCCGGGAAGCGCTGCGCCCAGGCCCGGCTCCCGTAGGAAGGGCCAGCGTCTGCCCGACCTGGCGCCGTGGGTGGCGGCCCCCTACCCAGCTCACCTGCCTCCTCCCTCAGCCTGACCCTGCGCTGAGTCCCTGTCCATCCGCTTTGTAATCCTCACACACCCGGAAGCGCTGGGCCGGGTCAGTGGGAACCTCTTGGCATCTTCTTTCCAAACCCTGCATCATCTTGACCCGGCCAGAACGTGTTCGTTGGTGGAAACCCCTGTGGATACTTTGTTTATCCACGGCTCCGGGCTACCCCTCCCATCCTGCTCAGATGTCAGCTGGAGGGAAGTGTGATCCCTAGCGGAGATGCTGAAGAAAGTTAGACGTTTTCCATTAAATTTTGATGTTAAAAAAAATGCTTTGAAACTCAAAGAAAAGCATTAAAAATATTTAAACTAAGAGCTTTTTATAAAAGTCCACACATTCAACACAGAAGTGAAAGAGGGGGCGGGCCTTTGCAGACGCTACGGAGCTACTGCAGGCTTTTGCACAGACCCGCGCTTTGCCGGGCTGGCATTGTGTGGACGGCATTGCGGGGCGAGAGGGCAGGGAGGGACCCTTCGGGGAGACTCCAGCAGTACGTGAGAGACCGAGAGGGCCTACCCCGGAATGGAGAGGAGAAGGTTTCCTCCTGTGGGCGGTTCTGTGAGGAGGCCCAGACAAAGGGAAATAGGCGGAGGGAGGAGGCAGCGGTGGGGCCGGAACTTCTGGAGAGGAAGGATTGAAGGGTGGCAATGTGATGGAGGGGAAATTGCCTTGAGACTTCATTTGCATAGCAAGCACACTGGTTTCACCATTACTGGAACTGAGGGCCGCGTTTCGGGGTGTTTAGGGGCTGTGATGTTGTATGAGTCGGAGCAGCAGCGGGGGAGGGATTGCACCCTGGAAGGGCTAATTGAATTGAGGAAGGAACTATGTGCAAAATTGTAACCTGGAATAAGGGGATCAGCCAGGGAGGGTGAAGCACCCGGGGATAGAACAGTGGGAAGCTGTTACCAGCCCTAGCCCTGAAGGGACACGGGGAGGGCGCTTACCGGAACCAGGTGCGAGCTCTAGTCGTGGGAGAGGAGGCACCCGACAAGAGCTGTGGCTTTAGGTAGAAACCCAGTCACTGGAAGAACCCAATCTCTCTCTATCCCTCCCGTCCTCTGATTTCCTACTAGTGCCTCCCATTGGCCCAACCCAGGGGGAAGGAGGGCAAGGACGATCCGTTAGTACTACCCCCACCCCTCCTTCCAGGCACAGAGCGGAGTGGAGGCTGGATCTGGAGCAGCCAGTGAAAGTTCCTAGCCCAGGAGCTCACAGGACTATACCTACAGGGAAAACAGACAGGGTTCATCATAATATTACCTCTGTGTGCCCATTCTTAGTCCTGCCCCCACCTCATGCTCTGGACCCAACTAAAGAGTGATTTATGATCCTTTGCCCAGAGTTTATAGCTGCAATAAACAGGGGCCCTTTAAACAGGGATTAAGGGATCAGCCTACTCCTTATTAGAATAAACCCCAGTAGGAATCAGGAATTTGTGGTTTGGAGACACCCTGTGGAGAAAGACTCAAGCTAGTTACCTCTGTGAAACTCAGCAGTAAAGAAAAATAAGGATTTCTCACTTGCTGCAGCAGCAAAACCCTTTGCTGAGGGTTGAGAGAAACCCTCCTCCAGGATGTAAACTACAGGACTCTGCTAGCTTCTTTCAGCTCTTACATCTCTCCCAGCAATTTAGGGACCATTTGTCTTATGCCTTCTCAGGATGCCCGGTTTTCAGACGTGGAATCCTGATCTCTGGGAAACCCACAGAGACAGACCCACAGATATATAGTCAAGTGATTTTCCACAAAGGTGCAGGCAATGCAATGGAAGAAAGATAATCTTTTCAGCAAATGGTGCTAGAACAATTGGATATCCATGTGCCAAAAAAAAAAAAAGAACCTCAATCTTTTCCTCACACCATATACAAAAACTAACTGAAAATGGATCATAGACCAAAGTGTAAAAAGTAATACTATAAAACTTATAAGAGAAAATCTTAGTGACCTTGGGTTTGGGAAAGGTTTCTCAAATACAACACCCAAAGCATGAAGTATAAAAGAGGGAAAAATCAATAAATAGGACTTCTCTTTGCTCTTTGAAAGAATGCTATGAAAATGAAAAGGAAGGCACAGACTGGGAAAGATATTTCCAAAACATTCATCCAAAAAAGGACTTGTATTTAGATTATGCCAGGTATACATTTTTTAAAATTACTCTATTGAGGTCATATTGGTTTATAACATTGTGTAATTTCAGGTGTACATTATTATATATCAGTCTCTGTATAGACTGCATCGTGCTCACCACCAAGAGTCTAGTTTTTATCTGTCACCATACATATGTGCCCCTTTACCCCTTTTGCCCACCACCCTACCCTCTTCCCCTCTGGTAACCACTAATCTGTTCTCTTTATCCATGTGTTTATCTTGCACATATGATTGAAATCATATGGTATTTGTCTTTCTCTGCCTGGCTTATTTCGCTTAACATAATACCCTCATGGTCCATCCATGTTGTTGCAAATGAGACCGTTTGGTCTTTTTTTATGGCTGAGTAGTATTCCATTGTATATATATACCACATCTTCTGTATCCATTTAACAGTTGATAGGCACTTGGGTTGCTTCCACATCTTGGCTATTGTGAATAACACTGCAATGAACATAGAGCTGCATGGATCTCTTTGTATTGTTGATTTCATGTTCTTTGAATAAATACCCAGTAGTGGGATACCTGGATCATATGGTATTTCTATTTTTAATTTTTTGAGAAATCTCCATACTGTTTTCCATAGTGGCAGCACCAGTTTGCATTCCCACCAGCAGTGTATGAGGGTTCCCTTTTCTCCACACCCTCTCCAACGTTTGTTATTTCTTGTCTTGTTAGTTATAGCCATTCTGTTGGGTATGAGGTGATATCTCATTGTAGTTTTGATTTGCATTTCCCTAATAATTAGTGATGTTGAACATCTTTTCACGTGCCTATTGGCCATCTGTGTATCTTCTTTGGAAAAATGTCTGTTCATATCCTCTGCCCGTTTTTTGATCAGGTTGTTTTGTTGTTGTTGTAGTTGAGTTGTATGAGTTCTTTATATATTTTGGAAATTAACCCCTTGTCGGATATATGATTTGTAAATATTTTCTCCCAGTTGGTGGGTTGTCTTTTCATTTTGTTCATGGTTTCCTTTGCCTTGCAGAAGCTTTTTAGTCTCATGTAGTCCTGTTTGTTTATTTTTTCCTTTGTTTCCCTTGCCTGAGTAGACATGGTTTCAAAAAGATGCTGCTAAGACCAATGTCAAAGAGTATACTGCCTACATTTTCTTCTAGGAGTTTTATGGTTTCAGCTCTTACATTCAAGTCTTTAATCCATTTTGAGTTGATTTTTGTGTATGGTGTAAGGTAATAGTCTACTTTCATTCTTTTGCATGTGGCTGTCCAGTTTTCCCAACACCATTTATTGAAGAGACTTTCCCTTCTCCATTGTATGTTCTTGACTCCTTTGTCGAAAAGTAGCTGTCCATAGACTTGTGGTTTTAGATCTATTCCATTGATCTGTGTGTCTGTTTTTGTGCCAGTACCATGCTGTTTTGATTACTATAGCTTTGTAGTATTTGAAGTTAGGGATTGTGATGCCTCCAGCTATGTTCTTTTTTCTCAGGATTGCTTTGGCTATTTGGGATCTTTTGTTGTTCCATATAAATTTTAGGATGCTTTGTTCTATTTACGTGAAGAATGTCATTGGGATTCTGACTGAGATTGCATTGACTTTGTAGATTGTTTTAGGTAATATGGACATTTTAATGATGTTTACTCTTCCAATCCATGAGCATGGAATATCTTTTCATTTCTTTATGTCTTCTTCAATTTCTTTCAATAGTGTCTTATAGTTTTCATGTATAGGTCTTTCACCTTCCTGATTAAAGTTATTCATAGATATTTTATTCTTTTTGTTGTGATTGTAAAAGGGATTGTATTCTTAACTTCTCTTTCTACTAGTTCATTATTAGTGTATAGAAGTGCAACTTATTTTTGTAGGCTGATTTTGTACCCTGTAACTTTGCTATAGTTGTTGATTATTTCTAATAGTTTTCTGGTGGATTCTTTAGGGTTTTCTATGTATAGAAACATGCTATCTGCAAACAGTGAGAGTTTCACTTTCCAATTTGCATTCCTTTTATTTCTTTTTCTTGCCTAATTGCTCTGGCCAAAACGTCCAGTACTACGTTGAATAAGAGTGGTGAGAGTAGGCACCCTTGTCTTGTTCTTGTTCTCAGA